AAGGCAGACGCTTAATGACTGAGCCACCCAGGCACCCCACACATAGTTATAGATTGATGGAACATTTTCCTTCGTATTTTTTATAATTTTTAAAAAAGATTTTATTTATTTATTTTGAGAGAGAGAGCATGTGTCTGCGCATGTGCAGGGGAAGGGGCAGAGGCAGAGGGAAAGAGAGAATCCCAAGCAGTCAGCATGAAGCGTGATGTGGGGCTCAATCTCATGACCCTGAGATCATGACCTGTGCTGAAATCAAGAGTCAGACACTTAACCGACTAGCCACCCAGACTGTCCTCCTTCATGTCTTAACTATCATTATTATTTTTTTTTTTAAAGATTTTATTTATTTATTTGAGAGATAGAGAGCACGAGAGGGAAGAGGGTCAGAGGGAGAAGCAGACTCCCTGCTGAGCAGGGAGCCTGATGCGGGACTCGATCCCGGGACTCCAGGACCATGACCTGAGCCGAAGGCAGTCGCTTAACCAACTGAGCCACCCAGCCGTCCCTTAACTATCATTATTAAATAGAAATAGAAAGGAAAGATATTATTGAATCACCTATATAGCCTTAAATGTTACCAGAAGTGTCTTCTCATATCAATATTTTAAATTGTTCAGTTTAAGGCCAGTGCTTAGCTGGGAGCTCAGCTATGGTTATTGGCTAGGTGTCTTGATTGCTCTTCGTGTAGGCCTCTCTAGAAGAATGCCTGGGATCCCTCACAACATGGAAACTACATTCCAAGAGCAAGTGTTCCAACAGCAAAGAATTTGAAGTTTCTAGTTTCTTAAGGCCGGGGCCCAGATACTGACATAGGAGCATAGTAACTGTATTCTATCAGTCAGTCATAGAGTATGCCTGGATTCAAGGGGAAGGGGGTAGACCCTGCTTGCCAATGGAAGAGGTGTCAGAGACTTGTGGCCATCTTCAATCTAACATAATTATCTTCAAAATAATTTCTTTGTGTGAATAAGAAAATATAAGACTTTTTAGATAAGATTATTACCCAACTGTATGCCAGAATTACCAAGACTTTAACTATGATAAGCTTGACTTGTCTAAAATTGTCTTGAGCCTAAAAGGCTATGGGATTGCATATAAAAAAGGCTTATCAAATTTTAATATATTAGCCAAATTATTATTAGTAAAGTAGGTGAATTGACTATGTAGCATTGCATTCAAAGGGTAAAATTATGTAACAGGCTTCTATAAAACTGGCCAGGCCAAGCACGGGCATTCATGTTTGATGAATGATAATGGGCCTTCCCAAATTATTTATTATCTTAATATAGCCAGGGCACGTGTCACCTTAGCTTCTAAATATTTTATTCTCCTACTCACGTTAGTAATGTGTATTCCTTCTGTGTTATTTTATCACCAGTAGTGAGACTGATTAGCAAGAAGGATGTTTCTGAAAAACTGTTTCTTAGGTTTTTGGTGTGAGAATATACTGGAAAAAAATATTTGAACACTTACTATGTTCCAGAGCCTGGTGTGTGTTCTAGAAATACAGTAGGGAGCATAGAAGACAAGACCCCTGAAATACAGCAGAATGACAGGGAGGACCACCGTTCTCCAAGGGATTAGAAAAGTACTATTAAATAAAAAAGAAAAGATTAGTTGATGATAGCCACATTGTTGTCAAATATAAGGGTTATAAAAATAGACATTTTGGGAGGTGCCTGGGTGGCTCAGTGGGTTAAGCATCCGACATTTGATCTCAGCTCAGGTCTTGATCTCAGGGTTGTGAGTTTGGGCCCCACATTGGGCTCCACACTGGGTATGGAGCCTACTTAAAAAACCAGACATTTTGGCAAATGCACATAACACAGAGATGTGAGCATTTATCCTGGGAACACAGACCGTGGCGGGACACAGTGTTCTTGCTTGCTATGGGACATTGTTGCTTGCTCTTACTATGGTTTTTGAAATGTATGCTAGTCCCAAGCATTGAGAAAAGGAAGAAGTAGTTTCTCTTTTGTATTACACAGATCTATATATGTGATAAGATTTTATAAAATTCTATATCAAAAAATGAGTGTGTATAAAACAATGGTGAAATATGAGTAAGATCTATAGTCTTGTTAATTGTATTGTGCCATTTTCAATTTCCTGGTTTTGATAAATGACTTTAGTTGTGTACGATGTCATCGCTGTGAGAAGCTGCATGTAGGTACATGTGAGCTTTCTGCACATTTTTTGCAACTTATTTCAAAGTAAAAAAGTTTTTTTCTCATGTAAATACACCTAATTGAATGTCTTATCTTAAATTCTGACCTTGTTTAGTCCTACCCAATGTAAGCCAGCACACTCCCAAGAAAATGGAAAGCAGAGTGGTTATCTTTGTAATATGCCAAACTTAATGGGATGTTGATTATATTCTTCATTTATTAATGCTGCACACTTTTAATACTTTGGCAGTTTTATTCATGTTTTAGTGCTTAAACTTTTTGTATGAGCAGAATGTGTGCATATTTAATGTACCCAAAAAGATGAAATGTGTGGTAATTTGTTAAACTAAAAGGCAGTAGTAAGACACTTTGGCAAGTATAGCATATTGCAAGCATTTTAGGGAGCCAAACAAGCTGAACATGTCAAAATAATAGGTGGCTCTGTGATATTTATTGACAACCTATAATAGCTGAACACTATTCAAAAAAATGATTATAGCATTATTTCATTAACTTCTGAAATGTTCATTATTTTAAAGACATAAATTCTCTTTATTTCTCTTTTCTGAAAATGAAAACTTCCATATTTTGATATATGATTCGTCTACCATTAATTTGTTTACATTTCTTTGTCTTTCCTGATGCCAACAATGATGGAATAGAGATATTAAATCTGCGATTACCTACTTTTTTTGTTTTTGTTTTTAAATATAAATATTCAAAGATTTAAAGACCCATCTTGCCATTGGCAACAACATGGATGGACCTCGAGGGTATAAGGCTAAGTAAAATAAGTCAGTCAGAGAAAGACAAATACCATATGATTTCACTCAGATGTGGAATTTAGGAAACAAAACAAATGAACAAAGAAAAAAAAGAGACAAACCAAAAAACAGACTTTTAACTGTAGAGAAGAAACAAACTGATGGTTACTAGAGAGGCAGTGGGTGGGGGGATGGGTGAATAGGAGAAGCTGTTTTAAACAGTTATCTTGATGAGCACCAAGTAACGTGTAGAATTGTTGAATCACTATATTGTACACCTGAAACTAATATAATGTATGTTAACTACACTGGAAATAAATGAATAAACAAACAAATAAATAATTAATTAATTCCCAGTTGAGAAATGTCAGCTCTATACAGTTCCTAGTCAATTTTTTTGTTTTTGTTTGTTTGTTTTTTAGCAAAGCAAGGTTTATTGAGCGATAGTAAAGTGATAGTACAAAGCTCCTGAAGATGGAGGGGACCCAAGGACGTTGCCTTGTTCCTACTCAGTTTTAACAAAATACCATTGGTCTTAAAAATTGTTCTGAACTGGCATCAAAATGCCTAAATAACAGCAAAAACAAAAAACAAAACAAACTGAGTAAATGCTTATAAAATCACAGCTTTCTGTTGTGAATTTTTAATTTGTCGTATTCAAAGAACAACTGTTCTTAAAAAAATGAATGATTTCTGAAAACAGATTAAGGTTAAGTTGCTTTACTAGCTTGATTTTATACCACTGTCATCAAACGGAATTTGGCTGATGAAACTGCAAAATGAAACCGTACTCAGTTTAGAGGAGTCATTTTTCAAATGCTTGGAGGATGTAGAAAGGAAGTGGCCACTGGTGATCCTACACCTATTTGTGAAATGCTTATGGAATGTACATGGTTGCTAAATACTGTGTTTATGAATATTAAGGGGAATAAAGTATTGCCCCTTTTCAAAAGAGTTTACTGCCAAGCAAGGAATGGAACCAAAGGGGCAGGATAGGGTGGGGGGGGTGGTTTGGAGGTGTGTTGAGTCTGGGCTGAACTCAATTGTTTTTAAAAGTTTTTACAAGATGAGGTTAACATTAGTAGCCTGACCACATCTGGAGAGAGAAGAGTTGGTGAATTATGGGTTGAGGGAGGGGCCTACTGCATTCATAGGGCTCTGATGATAAATAACAGTGGTCTGCAAGTTGGCTTTACTTTTAATTAAAATGATGGAATCAAAAACCTTACAATGCTGGGATTAAACATGATATTATTATTATTTTAAAGATTTTATTTATTTATTTGAGACAGAGAGAGAGCATCAGTGGGTGGGGGGAAGGTACAGGTGCAGAGGCACAGGGAGAAGCAGACTCACTGCTGAGCAGAGAGCCTGACGTGGGGCTTGATCCCAGGAGCCTGGCATCATGACCTGAGCCGAAGGCAGATGCTTAACCGACTGAGCCACTCAGGCGTCCTTAAACATGATATTAAACATGAGTTTAATAATTGGAATTTTCAAGCACTTGCAAAGTTTTAATTTAGCTATTTATTCCAATCCTATTTCCTTATTTAAAAAATGGAACTCTTTAATTTGTCTTTACTCCCTATATTTCTGATGTTCTGTTAAAAATATTTATTAGCAGAGAAGTATTCCAAAAAGCTGAGAGAAACAAGCTGAAAAAGAGCATACATTTCTAAACTGGATCATCAATCCCTGGAAAATTTAAATTGATTAGGCTTCATTCAGGAGGACAAGACAGCAGGATGTCTTTAGTCATAAGGCTAGAATTCCTTAGGCAAATTATAACTCTGCCTTATCTAATTCTTCAGGAAGTTGATTAGCCCGTCTCATGTTTTGCCACATTGACTAGGGATGGCACATGCTCATGAAGTCATGTTTCTCAGACTGAAGGTAAAAATTCCTGAGTGAATACCAAATTCCAGGCACTCTTCTCAGGGGTTAACATGCATTAATCTCTAAAAGTTTATAAAGACATCTCTGTCAAATGATTCATTGATTAATAAATATTCATATTTATTTTTCACTTGGGATATTTGTTTTATTTTCATTATTTCTTCTCTTTCAGCTCTTCTTTATGCAACTATTTTTGGAAATGTTACTACAATTTTCCAGCAAATGTATGCCAACACCAACCGATACCATGAGATGTTGAATAATGTGCGGGACTTTCTGAAACTCTATCAGGTCCCCAAAGGCCTTAGTGAACGAGTCATGGATTATATTGTCTCAACATGGTCCATGTCAAAAGGCATTGACACAGAGAAGGTATGGGATATTATTGTTGTTGTTATTTATTTTCCATTTCAATAGGATCTTCAGATGCCTGTAGCTCTCCCACTCATGTATTGCTTGTATAATTGCTTTGTGTTAGTTTGTTTTTCGTAAGTGACATATCAGTCAATCGTAGTACATATTGAGTGCTTAGAAGGTGCAAAGCACTCAACCATTAATCATCAATTTAGAAATTGTGGTTTCTGAAAACAACTAATTACTCCATTTCCCTAAAACACTCATTACCAATCAGAGTAATTTGCTGCATTCCTCTAAAACTAACAGTGCTACCATATCTCTGGTGTTTTATTCTTGATTTCTTCTTTGACTTTCTGCCCATTTAAAATTTAGAAAGAAACTTCCTTGCTTATAAAGGAAAAAAGTGATATGTCTTCTATGCTGTCCTCCACTTAAATCTCTCCCCTCTCTCACACGTGTTTATGGAGAACATACAATTCTTTATTTTCCTCTTTTCCTTACACAAATCTATAAAGTGGATACCACCTCCCCATTCATCTGACATCTCTAATGTCTTCCTTGTCTTTTCATGAAACCTCTTCTAATTTTTCCCATCTCTCTTATATTAGAAAAGAAGGACCCAAAGTCCTCCTTAAAATAAACAAAACCAAATTAAAAATAAATAAATTCTCACTTCCTACACCCAGCTGATTTACATCCAATATGGGGGATGACAAGTGGGGCCTGCACACGAGTTTTAGAGAAAGCCCATCTTGAGCTCCTTTTCTTTATAAGCATCACAGGAGACGATTATTTTTAGATACTGAATTTTGACATGATAATCAGATAGTACATTACTTTCCTTGCCATTTCCCACAAATTCAATTTGTTCTTTTAATCATATGATGTTGGCTTGGAGTTTTTCTGAAAGGTCTGCTCAATAAGCACCTTTCATTGTCAAAGGGAAAGAGCAAATGAGCAAAGTAGATATTCAGTCGGAGGAATTTCACTGAGGTAATTTTAAGCCACAGCAGCTGTTGTTAGGAGCAGATGGTTGAGGGGATGTTTAGGGGTCAGACATGGAAGAGTTGAGGGAGGGAAGCCTTCACAGGAAGTGCAGGTGAGATACTTGGTGGGGGGGCGGGAAGGAGGTGGGAGCAATTATTCGAGGAATCATGAAAGAGGGTGAGATTTCTCCCTCTTTCAACATCTTACAGGCTGCAGTGTTAATTTTCTAGTTAAATGGCCATTAAAACGGAATGACTACAGATAGGGAAAGGACAAACTACATTCTGTGGAATTTGGTTTATATATGCCTGAGCCAAACAATATATGGTTATAGGGAGGGTATCCAGAGAAGGAAGAGAATCTTCCTCAGGGATACAGGTGAGACTCAGTGTTTAAGACATCAAATGCATGATGTTCTTTGAGGTCCACATTCAGTGAAACTGCTACATGCCATGTCCACTTCCAGACACACCACATGCCAGTGTACCAGGAAACAGTTTCTGGGTTCCTAGTATTTACCACATTTTTTTGTTTTTGTTTTTGTTTTTGGTGTTTGTTTTGTTTTGTTTTTTTTGGTTTGCTTGTTCATTATTTCTAGTCACAGGAATGTACTTCTGATCAGTAGAGTATCCACAGAAAGTGGAGTAATAGGAAAAAAAGATTGGGAAGCTAATATTAAAGGTAAAATAAAATGTTAGTTCAAATGAAAAGATTCTTAAAGAAATAATTCAAAATATTAAAGTGGATTAGCTTTTGGATAAGAAAAAAAATCACAGATGTGCCTCCTAACTGAAAGGGGAATCCAGAAAGAGTAGTTTTTTACTAAAGGGGGAAGCAGAGTTAAATAACTGGCAAATATGAAAAGTTTGTTGTGCATGTATAAAACCTATCTAAAGTTTAATTTAATGTGGCAGCAAACTCTCCATGCCTGTATTGATTTCTCCCAGTCTATTAAGAAAATCCCCACCCAAATGTGTGAGAACTAGCTGTAACAGAACTGTAAATAAAGGGATATACGCCAAAGTCTGGGCCTGGACAGAGTTATAGGAGATTCTCTTGAATTGTATAGTCAATGAGGATGAATTTAAAAACGCATTCTTACAGAAACAGACTCTGAACTGTAGAGAACAAACCAATGGTTACAGAGGGGAGGGGGTGGGGGATGGGTGATACAGGTGGTGGGGATTAAGGAGCGCACTTGCTATGATGAGCTCTGGGTGTTGTATGGAAGTGTTGAATCACTACATTGTACACCTGAAACTAATATTACACTGTATGTTAACTAACTGGAATTTAAATAAAAACGTTAAAAAATGCATTCTTAGCACGCCATATGCTCTACTGAACAAAGAGAAAACAAAAATTGTCATTCAGCTTTTTGGTTTAGTAGAGAAACTCCAACCAGAGCAGAAGAGCCATATTCTTGTTAGGCATTCAGTAATTTGACTACATAGTGTACGTATAACTTTAAAATATGGTAATAAAGTATCGAAGTATAGACCCAAGAATTATTAGCCAGAGCAAAGAGTGGGAATAAACATCTCAGAACTAGATTTTACTATAGATAAGAACTGAATGTAAGTTAAAGGGCATATCACAAAGAAGGAATTGATATATTATTTCATATAATTATAAAATGAGCTAAAAATTTCAGAAAATATTTAATGAGGGTTTCCCATGTGGCCTAACATAAATGTCAGATGGACTGAGTTAAATGTAAAAAATAGGAAACCATAAACTAATAAAAAGAAAATACGTGACCATGTTTACTTTATCTTTGTACGTATTAAAGCAATGGAATACATAACAAAGTAACCGATAAATAGATTTGGCTAAAAAATGTAAAATCTTTCACACCAAAAACCATGAAAATGAAAATGAGATAGAGTATTTGCAACAAATATCGCAAGTGAAAGGTTAATACCTTAATATGTAAAGTGATTTTGTAAATGAATAAGAATTAGAATACCTGAGAAAAATGAGCTAAGTACATAGTTAATTTATATAAATATACAAAAATACAAATTAGTAATAAACATATATAAATATTAACTTGTAATAAATAAATATTGGAACAGCAAGAGACCATTTTTAATATGTCAAATGGACAAAGATAATGCCCACTCTTAGTAAAAGCTATAGTGACTGACACTATCATAAAATTATGGTTTGTGTGCAATTTGGTGTGGCATTTCTTGAAAGCAGTTTGACCAAGATAATATCTTAAACTGGGGTATATTCTAGATCTAAGTCCTTGTGCCTTCTTCCCTTTTCTGTTCATATTCTCTCCTTTAGTGATATCATACAATCTTATGACTTTAAAAATGTATGCTAACAGTGCCCAAATCTACACACTCATTTGGATCTGTTCTTGAACTACAGACTCCCCTATCCAACTGCCTGCTCACATCCAGTGAAGCTGTCCAGAACTGGGTGGCTCAGATGGTTAAGCATCTGCCTTCGGCTTGGGTCATGATCCCAGCGTCCTGGGATCGAGTCCCGTATCAGGCTCCCTGCTCGGAAGGGGGCCTGCTTCTTCCTCTCCCTCTGCTGCTCCCCCTGCTTGTGCTCTTTCACTCTCTCTGTCAAATAAATAAATAAAATCTTAAAAAAAAAAAAAAAGGCTGTCCAGAGCTGAACTCCTCATCATCTCCCATAAACCTGCTCCACGGACATTCTTCCCTAATGAAGTTAATGGAAACTCCACCCCTCAGTTGCTTAGATAAACCTCTCTACATTAAAACCTCCACCAAATCCTGCTGGCTCCATTCCCAATTCTCACCACTCCATCGCCATCTCCTCGTTCCAGTCACTATCATGTTCTACCTGGGTTATTGTATAGCCAAATAACTGGTCTGTCCCTTTATAGTATATTCTAGGCACAGCAACTTTTGAGTTTATATGGCTTTCATAATAAAGCTTTCTTTCTATCTATCTATCTATCATCACATATTTGTGTGTACTGCAGGCTTTTTTGAGAATAAGAATAAAATTGACCTTGTTAAAATACAAGGGTGGAAAAGAGGAAATGAAAGATTGATGGTAGTAATCAAATAAATTTTGTAATTCACAATCTTAGCAATATGAATGTATTTGAGGATGTAGCTTTAGTAAACAGCATCTGAATTTTAACAATTATCCTGTATTTGATGTCAGAGACCTCTATTCTACTTCCTCAGTAAGCCAAATACTTTGTCTTACTATGTTTCTTATCTCCCATTTTGTTGATAGTTTCTTTCAGATATTTTATTAATGTTGGTTGTTATCAGATTTAACTATGAGTATATACTGAAAAAGATTGAAATGTACAAAGTCAAATTTCTTTGTTCTGATGCTTTTCTTGTTAGTTCTAAAACAGTGAGATTTTCTTCAGTTGCTAGTACAATAGAACTTAATGATGCATTGCAGCTAATTAGAGAAGAACCTTCGCCCTAATTACTGACATTTCCTTCTATCATTTCCACATATTTAGTTTCATAGATTTTTTGAATTCAGCTTTACCCCACAAGCAAATTAATCGCTGTGATGTAATTCAGTCTTACCTTGCCTTATGTGAATAATGCTTTCTTTAATACAAATTGTGGCATTAAAGTCAGGACTGACGTGAAGATTGTAGCATTTCTATCAGGAAAGTTTGCCTTAGGCAAGATTTTCTATATGGAACGGTACCGAGATTAATTTCATTTAGTTGAAAGTATTTTATTGACTACTAATTGCTATAGTTGCTTTAGATTCTTTTCAAATTTAATAACCAAAATCCGTCCTCTGGGCTTTGCTGTTCATAACATCCTGTGCACTTAAAAGACTGAGAAATGGGTAGAATGAGTGAGGATTTAAAAAGGAAAAAAATAGATTATGGGAAAAAAAATAGAAAGGATGATGAAGCTTAAAACCTTGTCATTTTTTATTTTTCACTGTCTCACTTTTTTTTCTAACATGTAATTTGAAAAAATCAGTAGAAAAAAGCTCTTTGGTCTTCATTTCTTGTTTCGTGTGCTTTGTAATAAGCATAAAGTCTCAGTAGGAAG